TCAATGTGGACTTCACAAGCTTCAAAATCTCTCCTCCCCCTACCGCATCCCAAAACCAGCCCCGCTCATCCCCGCCTCCCTAACCTGTCCTTCCTCCCACCTATCCCCTCCTCCCACCTCAAGCCCCACCCCCATCTCCTACCTACTAACCTCATCCCGCCCCCTTGACCTGTCCGTCCTCCCTGGACTGACCTATCTCCTCCCTACCTCCCCACCTACACTCACCTTTACTGGCTCCATCCCCGCCTCTTTGACCTGTCTGTCTCCTCTCCACCTACCTTCTCCTCTATCCATCTTCTATCCGACTCCCCCTCTCTCCCCATTTATTTCAGAACCCCCTTCCTCTCCCCCATTTCTGAAGAAGGGTCTAGGCCCGAAACGTCAGCCTTCCTGCTCCTCTGATGCTGCTTGGCCTGCTGTGTTCATCCAGCTCTATACCTTGTTATCAAGGAATGTCAGTGAATGTGTTGCAGTGGGTTCAGGTGACTGTCTACCAAAGCTGAATAGTTGCAGGAATCCAGGAGCAGTGAGAGGTCATTGTGAGGATGGAGTGGTACAAACAATGACTGTAATTTGTCGAGTTCTGTACCTAATTTTGCGAAGAATCTCAATGCAATGCTGTCTACAGTCTGACTGCTTAAATTACACTCTTTCACTGACAGGAGCTGTGATGTAACTAAAAACAGCCAAGAAACCCTGTGTGTGTTTACGTACACTGCAGGTACAATTAGTGAAGCCTAATTTGCTTCCTTCAGTCTTCAGACGAACAGCATTTCACTGAAATTGGGAGGCCCTCATAGCATAGTTTTACCTTCCCTTCCTTTGAGCCAGGCAGTCTGAGTTCAAGACTGCCTACCATGGAGATGTGTCATAAACCTGTGCAAACAGACTGAATAAAAAATACTTTTGCGCTGAAATTGTCCATTGACATTGACAACAGCTGTGCTGAAGGCATTGAAAAGTGATATCTTTACAAGGCAGGTTCCTTGTGTGGGCCTCCCACAATGCTTTTAGCCACATCAAATTGCACATGCCAGGCAAAATATTGGGTAATGTTGCCCTCATGTGTTCGGAAGAAACTCTTCTTTCTAATTATACCAGGTAGCACCATTAATTGCAAAATAAAAACTGACAGAACTGTGGATGCTGTAAATCAGAGATAAAAACAGAAATTGCTGAAAATGCTCAGCAGGTCTGACAGCATCAGTAATGTTTTGGGTTGAGAGACCCTTCCTCAGAGTTGATGGTAGCTAGGAAAGTGTTGGTTTATATGCAGAAATTAGGGTGGGAGGAGGGGGTAAGGACTAAATGATAGGTGGGGACAGAGTCTAAAGAGAGAGAAGAGCAGTTGGATAGAGGAGTGGATAACAATCTGGCTAGGAAGGAAAATAGGTGTTAATCGGGACTGTTAGTGGCTAACAATGGGTGCTGTGTAATAACGGAGTATGTGATAACAAGGCCTGGTTTGTAAGTATGAGGTAAGGAAATGGGAGAGCTCAAGCCCTAAAGTTATTGAAATCGATATTGAGTTCAGAAGACTGCAGGGTCCCCAAGCAGAAAATGAGGTGCTATTCTTCCAGCTTGTGTTGAGTTTCGCTGGAGCACTGCAGCAAGTTTAAGACAGAAATGTTGGCCAGGCAACAGGGTGGTGTGTTGAAGTAGCAGGCAACTGGAAGTTCAGGGGTTTTGTCTGCAGAAGTGCCGCCAATATCCAGGAGAAACCCAGCGAATCCCACAGGTGCCTGGACTATACATCCTTGCACGCTGTTTCCTGTGAAGATTCTATTCCATTCTCCCAGTTCATCTGTCTCTGTCGCATTTGTTCCGATGATGCCAACTTTGACAAGGGAGCCTCTGAAATGTCCACCTTCGTCCTCAACTGAGGATTCCCTAGCACCGTGGTTGACAGGGCCCTCAGGTGGGTCCGACCCATCTCCCACACTTCTGCCCTCATTCCCCTCTTCCCTCCCACAATAGTGATAGGAACACCCTTGTCCTTACCTACCATCCCACCAGCATCCACATCCAGAGGAACATGAGCCATCATTTTTGGCACTTCCAGCGAGATACCACCACCAGACACATAATTCCCTCCCCTCCCTTGTCAGCCTTCTGCAGGGACCGTTCCTTGCGGGACACCCTGGTCCATTCCTCCTTCGCTCCCAACACCCCCCACCCCTCCCCCAACAGCCCCATAGCACCTTCTGCTGCAACTGCAGAAGGTGCAACACCTGTCTGTTTACTTCCTCCCTCCCCAGTATCCAAAAGCTCAAACATACCTTCCAGGTGAAGCAGCACTTTACCTGTACTTCACACAATCTAATCTACTGCGTTCGCTGCTCACAATGTGGTCTCCTCTACATTGGGAGACAAAACGTAGACTGGGTGAATGCTTTGCAGAACACTTGCGTGCTGTCTGCAAAAAAAAACCCTGAACTTCCTGCTACTTCAACACACCACCCTGTTCCCTGGCCAACATTTCCAGCGAAACTCAGCGCAAGCTGGAAGAACATTTTCACTTTCCATCTGGGGACCCTGCAACCTTCTGGACTCAATATCGAGTTCAATGACTTTAGGGCTTGAGCTCTCCCATTTCCTTGCCCCAACCGTACAAACCAGGCCTTGTTATCACATTGCCTACTACCACACATCACCCATTGTCAGCCACTAACGGTCCCCATTAACAGCTATTCACCCTCCTAGCCAGATTGTTATCATTCTTTTGTCTGTCCAACTGCTCTTCTTTCTCTTTTGGCTCTATCTATCATTTACTCTTTACACCATCCCTCCACCCTATCTTCTGCATATAAACTGACATTTGCCTAGCTACCATCAGTTCTGAGGAAGGGTCACTCGACCCGAAACGTTAATTATGATTTCTCCCCACAGATGCTGCCAGACTTGCTGAGCTTTTCCAGCAATTTCTGTTTTTGTCTTGACAATTAGTTGCAACCTTAACAAGAAAGTAAAACGAGTCTCATTCCATCTGAAGGAAACCCTCTAGTTTATTAAGTGAATGGCTGAGCCCTTGAAAATAGGAAAACTTAAGGTATTAACAAGAGGACACTGGCATAAGATGACCGCAAGATAACTACGGGAGAGTTGGAAAAAAAATGGTTTTTGCATAAAATTGGGTAGAATATGGCATTTACTGTGACAGTTGTTTTGGGTTCTGCTAGGGTCACTTAGCTCTAAACATCACTAAAGCCTTAGTCCAAACATGGACAAAATGCTGAATTTCAGGGCTGAGGTAAAAAATGCTACTTTTGACAACAGCATTTGACAGGGTGAGGCCTAACAAAATTAAGATCCAGGGAAACCTCTCCACTGATTGCAGTCCTACCTAACACACAGCAAGATGATTGTGGTTGTTGGAGCCCATTCATTTTAATCGCAAGATAAAGATGCAGTGAAGTGTCCCAGGCCATAGAAAGTTTACAGTACAGAATAAGGCCATTCAGTTGGATAAACTAGCTGCCCATTCTAACCCTATTTACCAAAACTTGGTCTGTAGCATCCCTGGTTACAGCACTTCAAGTTCAGATCCAAGTTTCTTGTCAAATGAGTTGAGGGTTTCCACCTCAACCAGCAAACTGGACAGCGAAATTCAGACACCCACCATTACTATATACCACAAATAACAAAGACTACAACAGTGAGTCCTTTAGAACACCACTGAAAACAGCTTCCTATTTGCAAAACGTTCATTCACCATTACACTTTGTTTCCTGTCACTGAGCCACTTTTGGGTACAACTCATTGCACACTCCCTTGTGTCCCACGGACTTCATTTTTTCTGACCAGCCTGCCATGTGGGACCTTGTCAAATGCTTTGCTAAAATCCATGTAGACAAAATCCACTGCACTACCCTCATCGATTGTGTAATAGTTACATGTCTACACTGTGCCCATAGAATCTCACTTTATGATGCTTCCATTTTGCCCATTGATTTTCCTTCAAGTGACTAAGATTTAATGACATGAGAGTTGACACTCAGGTATATTAGCTTGCTATTGAGTTTACAATGATCAAATAATGTTTCTAGATTAAAGAAAAAGTCAGAGATGAAAAAGTGTTGATTCGTTTTGAAGGAGACCCAACTGAAAGAAATCTGTTCAGAGTAGTTACCTCAATGTAAGGATTTATTTCATGAAAACTTCAAAAGCAGGAGTGTTTGTTTGGAACTCTGCAAGTTATTAAAGGACTGAGAAAGTCTATGTTCTTAGTGAGTAAGTAGTCAAAAGATCAAAGTCTCACAACCAACCAGACGAGAACTGAGAAGCGGTTAAAACAAACCTACAGATTTGATAAGGAAGGAAAGTTTCTCTGAATTTTTATTAACCATAAACTGATTGTGTTGGATGGTTTGATTTTGTTGTTTTTGAATACTTTTAAATCATGCTATATTTAGATAGCTTTTTAAAAAGAAATCTCTTGTGTATTAAATGTCTATTGTTAAAACAAATCTGCAGCCTTGTGTTTTAGTTTCAGTGAAAGACTGCCAAGCTAAATATAAATAAAAAGACATCATATGTTCTATCAAGTCAGATTTCATTCTGTAATCTGACTTGCCCAGTGGTATCATCAGTTGGGATCATTACAAATAGAAAAATGGGATTACAATAATCAGATGTAGTTTAGACATGCCAGGGCTTTCTTTTCCACAAAAAAAATTCTATGACTAAGATCCTTCATTAGAAATAATTCACATGTAGTACTGGCTGATAATTAATTTTCTTTTCATCTGGTGTACTGTACATGTACTGACTACATTGGCAAGGTAAAAGCACAATTGGTTCCTTCCTTTCATGATTCCACACAAGGAAGGCTCAATAGATTAATGCAGAGATTCTTAAGGTCACAACTTTTTTTTTAATTTGAGGACCAAGAGGTAAACATAAAAATAAAAATAGCAGTAATTCACTTTGAATATTTAAATATGAGTGTAATGAAACTTGCAGGAAGCTGTTTGCTTGATCTTGGACGTAGAGATCCAAGAGGAATCTGTTAACCCCCAAGAAACAGATGAAGAGGAGTTGGCCAAATGAGTTCTGCAAAATGAAAAAGAAAGAATCAATTGATGAAGCTGATACTGTCAATCCAATCTGTTAAGGTTAATTACATCTGTACTGACAAATCATGAACAAAGCAGAATGCCTAGTGCCTAATAACTAAAACTGAATGAATAGAATACAACCAGCTAGTCACTTATGTGATCCACCAGTTGATGGCAGTACAGTGATATGACATTTCAGTATTCCAAGAAAAATAACCCATTAAAAGTTTGGGTGGAAATCCTTTCACGTATTTTCAACAGCTAAATATTTCTCTTTTTTTGCTTTCCTTTTAAACGTGTGTCTTTGTTTTGTATAATGTGGTAATATGTACTGGATCACAAGATAATGGCATGGTCCGTAGGTGAACAGTACATTCACTGGTGTCCGTGCTCTTTCTAATGTTGATTAGAGAGGAAATGTATTGATGGTACTACAGGAGGGTGCAAGTGTACCTTTAAGACAAGTTCACTGCTGTGCATTGTATATCTGGAGATTTCTGAATAAAGCATTGGCAAACTTACCCCAGTAAATGAGAGGAAGAGGATTTTGGCTGCCTCTAATCAAGGTTCACAGGTATTTGTCTACTCTTTTGTGATACTCTATTGATATGACCATATGTGTAAGGGAGTTATTAAATATAATGGTATATTGATAGCTGTTTCGGAAAGGTACCGTGATGAGCAAAATAACCTTCTCTTCTGTATAATTTTAAAAATTGCATGCAGTAATTACTTCATACCTTTCAAAGGTATCGCACATGGAAGTGTATTCTCTCATCTTACCTTTAAACGATTATGCTTGAGACCATCATATTTCCTAATGCCACTTTTCCGAAAATTGAAGATTTACAATGAAGTGACTTAAATGATCTGATGACAAATATCCAAATCACTAAATCAAATTGTTCTTTATTGTGCATGTCACCAGGAGGGACTATAAGATAGTCAGCCACAGTGAACCTCTCCGCTGCCCTTCTGCAGATCTTGGAGGTGAAGTGTACATTTAGATGAAGTTCAGCGTTTGACCATGTGCTCCTACAGTTTCCATCTTATTAGCACTACATGAAAATCTGTTGCAAAATTAATAAAAGCAATACATATGCTTTTCCTTGAGGTCTTGTGAAAGCCTGCAGTTTTAATATTCTATAAGATAATGGTTCTGAAGAGTTTAATGTCCATGCTATATCTGCTCCGCCTATTCTACTGATGTCTCACAGTTTTCGAGTAAAGGAGTTCTAGACCAACCTTTGCAGGAAATCGTTGCATCTGTACCAGCTCCCTACGATCCTGGTGATTGTGTCTGACCAAATGCAGTTGTACTCATATCATGTGATACTGTTGTACTTATTGCTGTCATGTGATAAACCTTCATGTTATCTAAGATCAGAACCTCATCTGCAGAAAATCTATGGTGGCATATCCTCTGATCTTAATCAGCAAGTCAGCCCAAGACAAAACAAAGACAATTGAAGATTGGTGGCAGAAAACTATCTCAAACAACCCATGCCCAGTACTATATACTGGTAGAGAATGTTACTGGATGCAATATATTTGGGGAAGGTGGGGATTAAACCTCTTTGAATATGATTGGCTTATTAAACATAGTTTTAAAATTTTAAATGCACGTATCTTATTACTTATCACTGTCATGTCCACATGTTCAATATCTCTGGTAAATATCAAAACAGAATAGTTCTTTTGTTTTTCTGCTCTCTATCATCACTTATGGTATTATACTGTCCCTTCGTTAATAGTCCAATCTATAATCTACTCTCTCAAAAGCCATTCTAAACATTTCCCATTGATATTCATTGTTTGCAAATAATCTTGCCCATTTTCCCTCTCAGGTTCTATTCTCACCCACAAAATCAGCTTGTCTCCGATCTATTAGCCAGTTTTCTTGTCATACTTGTATCCTTCCCTACAATCACTTTGAAACACGTTATATTATGATTACTAATGCCTAAATGTTCTCTTTTATTTCCTACGCTGTTTCATTACTCATTATTTGATCTAACAATGATTCTTTACTTGTTTTGGCTTATTTTATATATTGCATTAGAAAGAAGGTAAGGAACACATTGTAAGGAACTCTATTTTGTTATCCCCTTTATCTACATGGAAATCCTCTTGCAGATTCTAGCATCTGTTTCTCTCTTTGTACTAAATTTATCTTTATATTTCATTGATCGGTGATTTTCTGGTCCAAATAATAATCTATTTCCCTCCCAAATTCCAAATGCACTATCCTAAATATTTATTACCCCCTGCATCTTCACCCAATTAAAATCAAGGCTTTTGGTAATCTTTCTTTCTCAATTTATCTCCAAAGATCCAAAATGTTAAATTCTTTACCTCCTGATCTTTTCAGGAATGTTAAAATCATGAACCAGGGATCTTTCTTGCTGTTCAGTGAGAGTTCCCAATAATAAAAGAAATGTCCCCAGTTCCACATTAGGGAGCATTCAACTGATTCCCTACCTGAGTCTAGGATGACATATGTTGATTTCTCATAGCATTCGAGGAATGTCTGAGGAGTCATCAGCTCTGAACTGCTACACAGTTCCTTGATGGTATTCTCCTTGACGATCAGATGTCGGATTTCTTCAGGTACGGTGTGGTTTGGTCCAGTGATGTTCTTCTGTATGAGTGAAATGTGCTGTCACTATCAGCTGAATGACCACTTCCTTTACAGATTAAAGCACTAGCAGCAGCAGTAACAACAACAGTATCTCTCTCTCTCTCTCTCGAATGAGACAGCATCCCCATGCTCTGGTAAGTCTATGGTTACCTTAAGTTATACACCCACTGGCCCCAAGTCTGGTGGAAACTGAGATGTAGCTGCTTGCAGATACGTTAAAGATGGCTACTTGCATTTACACCCTCGGATCTCAGTGCCTCCCTGCCATGTCCTTTTGCAATGGGCCTCGGCAGGAAGTCTTGAGCCTTCCTAGCCCCAGCTTTCCTGACTCCCTGTGATTTTCATAGAATCGTAGAATCCCTATAGTGTGGAAACAGGCCCTTTGGCCCAACAAACCCACGCTGACCCACACAGCAACCCACCCAGACCCATTCCCCTATAACCCACCTAATCAACACACCCCTGAACACTACGGGTAATTTCCCATGGCCAATCCACCTAACTTGCACATCTTTGAACTGTGGGAGGAAACCGGAGCACCCGGAGGAAACCCATGCAGACACAGGGAGAATGTGCAAACTCCACATGGACAGTTGCCTGAGGGTGGAATCGAACTCGGGCCCCTGGCGCTGTGAGGCAGCAGTGCTAACTGCTGAGACACCATGCCGCCCCAAATCCAGAGTTCCTGAACCACTCCCCTTTCTCCCCATCAGTACTCCCCTGCTGTTAAATTTCCACCACAAGGTGGGACTGACTGGATTTAGCTAAGTCACTGACAGATTTCATCGTAATAATGTCTGATCATTATGATTTGCCAGGCATCCTGTTTGCCACCCATTTCAGGTTTTCCATGCTGCTGGAACCACCTATACCCCTTCCCCGTTAATACGGGCACCTTTATATTTAGTTGTGAGATGGCGTTACATGCTGTAGCGTTGCCAACCCTCTTGGGCTGTCCTGAAGTCTCCAGAAGTTGATGATTAATCTTAAATCCTGCTGTTGGCAATGGCTGGTTGGTGGCAGGGGAGGAGGGAGCGGACATCAGAGAGATTTCTTAAAAGAAACTGTTCTTTGCCCCATTATTTTGTGTATATTACTGTATGAATTATAGAAATATTGAAAAATGAGAGGAACCAGCCTCTTTGGTCAGATGGATACAGGTTACATGGTGGCGTCGAGAGGAGTGGATCTAACTAACTTGGGCAACTCTCAGTTACAGTTATGGTGCACCTGAATGGTGGATCAACGGAACAAGTTGCTGCAGGTCAATAAAAGCTGCTGCTTGTGTGTAGTACTCTGTGATCATTCAATAAGAAAGGCCTCTGGCAACAAGACCCTCAGCATGTTCTGGGCTATCCAGACAGAACTGCCCTTGGGATTGAACTGCCAAACTTGATTGTAAACAAATTCCCTTCCACTTTATCCCATTCCCATCCATGCTTTACTGTATTCCCTCCCTATATAAATATAGTTGCCCCTCCTTGTCACAAACTGTCATCCCTCCCTTACCCCCCAAGCTACAGCCCTCTATTACCAAAAATAGGTTCTTGAGTCTCCTTCCACAGTAACAGCGCAACATTCTCCCCCACGTTCCCTCTCCCCTGGTTCGTCTGGATGGAATGGGCAGACTGACACAGGCCAACACCTTGGGTGGGCTGAGGACAGCCCTGAACAAGTTGTCCCCAGAGCCCTTGATGGATGCCTGTACATATCACCTGCCAGTATACAGAGGCATGGACGTCTGGACCAAGAACAGACACCTGACCAAGGCCATACCCCAGGACTGGTACTGGGGAGTGTGCTGGGACCCCTTGCCTCTATATGGACTTTGGTGAGGGCCATTCCCCTCAGAGTTTGATTCCTGGTTGCCTGGGTTTGCTGCCCAGGCAGGGTGTTTGCTGGATAAGCTGCTGGCACTTTGTACTAGTGGGAGATGGACATAACTCACTGCCATACAGCAAGATGGCTCCCCTTTTGACTGAGGACTGCTGACTAGCAAGGCAAGCTGCCTGGAGGTGTGACTGTGCTACAAGGTAAAGCAAAGCAGGGATGAAGTGAGCCACTAAAAGTGAGTGAGTGCTGAGAGAGCAAGCGAGCAGCCCTGAGATGTAACCTGGTCCAATCAGTGAGCTGGGAGTGTGTGCCTCTGCATAAACCCTCCCTGCATCAGCCTTCCAATGCTGGTTGCCAGTGCACCATGCAGTAAAACTGTTTGCAATTGGATCGATGAGGTGCCAAAAGGATCCTGGGAGACTGGCAAATGTCAGATGCCAGTGTCTGTGAATGAGAGGTTCATGTAACTGATGCCCATGGATCATGCCCTGAGATACTGTCTGGTGCTGAGTAACATGGAGGGTCTTTGCAGATCACACCCCATGGGCAGCAATTGCCTGGGCCCTGCATCCACGGTGGTTGGTATCACTAAAGCATCAACCTCACCACATCATCAGGATACATTTGGGACTCACCTTTAGTATAACACCAGAGCTCAATTCTGCCATTTGGAGCTCACCATCATGGTGCTGTTGCCAGTTTACTTTGTGTTCAGGGTCAGGGCATTCACTTCATGCAGTGGTGCAGGGTACATCCCAGAGCTCGTCAATTGCTTTCCTGGCACTGACTCACTTGGCATGACTTGGATGGTCACAGCATCTCTGCCTTGCCCTGTCTTTCAGTGCAGACAGATAGCCAGGTAAGCTGTCATGTTTGATAGCAATGGGCAGTCACAGGGACTATGGTCAGTCAAGGGGCCACTCAGGAAAGGTAGTGAGGAATTCCGAGTGAGCAAGTGAGTGAGGGAGTGAGCAAGCAAGCGAGTGAATGAATGAGTAAGTGAATGAATGAGGTAGTGAGTGTGTGAGGGAGTGAGGGAGTGAGCAATTTGAGTGAGTGAGTGAGTAGGAAGTGAATGAGTAGGAAGTGCAGAGGACAGGAAGTGTTAGTAGTTTAGTAGGGGTTGGGGTGAATAACAACTGCTGAGGGATGGTGTGATATTGAGAGGAAGTTTAGGTGAGGAGGGAGTTGCACTGCAGAGTAAGAGTGAGTGTGAGCTGGCAGGGTGAAGATGCTGGGACTTACCCTGGTCCTCAGCCTTCCTGATACATTACTGTGCACTCCTCCAGGCTGTGGGCACTGCACTGACCCTTGGCACTACCTCAAAGCAGAATGGCAGCATGGATGTACCAGGAAGTTGGGTTTTAATAATGGCATCCTTGGCATAAACACCAGATGATCCCAGCACCAGGATGCACAAGGTCATGCGGGGAGCTATGGAGGCACGGTGTGTACTTAATGAGGTGGGCAGTGTGAAGGAACTCACTCAAGCTCAGACAGAGAGACGATCCCTGAATTGGCCCTGAGCCTGTTTCTGTTAAAATTCAGCCTATTGACTCAGTGAGATAACTTCCAGTGGGTTCTCCACTGTGCTGCCTGAAATGCAAGCACAGGAATCAGTTTCATAGCTTCAGAATGGGTTCAAACTCTGACCTTTGGATTTTGCTGGATGTAAATCCCAAGTTTCAGCAGGAGAGTGAGACATTCTGTGACCAGTTTGTCCACGGGCTCCATCTCTGAAGTGTCCATCATCAGAGTGAAAGGCAGATTCACAGGTCGCTGCAGCCATTGGCGATACAGTCGATCGGGGATATTGTGTGACAGCACAAGGACCTTAGTATCTGACTGAACCAGCCTAAGAGTAAAAGAGGTAAAAGGAAACATGGCAAATGAGAAACATTACTTTCTAACTGGGAGCAGGGAGAACAAAATCTTATATGAGACATGTTGCGTCAGCACAGCGAGAAGTCTTTGAATAATATGGCAAGAATATCAGAGAAAGACGTGCTGAGGACTGTCTGTACATGGTTGAATGTCCAGTCTATGGTTATTGTCCAGACCCTCATCAAAATATCAGCAAAATACCAGGGGGCTGCAGATTCACTGGCCATTTCTTCCCAATGTAGCAGAGGGAGGGCAAGTCTGAAAAGGTAAACTGTGAGGATATTATTCCCACTGTTAGCGATCAAGGCAGCATACAGTTCTGACCCGTACTGAAAGCATCAATTAGAGGGAATGTCAGAAGATTGTAATGTGTTATGATACAACCCACAGCCCTTAGGGTGACAATTGTTAAAACAGAGTTCAAGAAAAGTTTAAAGGGCATTAATAAGTGTGAGAGAATACAAGAAATGACATGAGAGTATAGAAACCGTAGCCTGGGCCTTGCTGACGTATGGTGTCCAATTCTGGGCCCCATGTTTGAGGAATTTAATGTTATTTCATTTAATTTGTAAAGATGTTATTTGCTGCTCTATGTCCACAGTCACAATCTTTCCATCTTATTGTAAATTAAGATCGCGACAAATTCAAAAATATGTGCAAGCCTTAAAAATATTCCTTTTATTTTCAGAAAAAGAGGTTCCTGTGCATGAAAATATGTCACTTCTTGCAAGGGTAATTTGAGCCATGCTATGAGCTTGACTGATTACCTTAAGCTAGTTATTAGTGTAACTAATGGTCGGCCCAAGATTGCTAAGGAAGTGCTGCCTAATCATGGAATCGCCCTTAGCAGTGGATGTTTTCTTTTGGGATTTGCAGACGTGGGCTCGTTGGGTACAGTCTGCACTGGGCCTAGCACAACAATTAAAGGAACATACTGTTTCATTTGCTCAGCTAATCATTGAACTGTAAGCCGGCATACCTGGTGACATATTGACACTGAACTTTATACTTCATATGTTTGGTAGGCAGAATATCTTTGCGAGTTGATGACTTCATCTGTCCATGGTAAATATCACTCACATTACCATTGAATTTTATAAACATGAAATGGCTTCATTAACCTGCTTAATCTTTTGAGAAACCTTGCTTGTCTAATTTAATGTGAAGTAGACCAGGCACTGTTTTGTTGTCTTGAAGTGATAGCCTCGGTTCATTACGAGTTTGCATGAGGCACCACAAACTGTGATCTGATCAGGAAAGCATTGACCAGCAGGACAGCTTTGATGTGATCGATTTCTGAGTCGAGATTGCAAGTTGAGCAAATGGCTAGGGCTGTATTTACAAAGTGATTAATTGACTGTTTCACATTGCTACTACGTAATGGCTGCAGTTAGCCCAAAAAAACATAGTGGATATATGCTTAGCTGAGAATCCAGATTCAGAAAAGGATTAACTCATTGGGAGTCTGTTTAGACAGCTAGAGAGAACTGATGACTTTAAACAGCGAGTGCTGCAGGAACCTAAAGTTCCAAGGAAGAGGCATGTTGCACTCAAAACGTAAACTTTCTGTCAATAGCCGCTACTAGACCTCTTGAGTTTCTGCAGGCTTCTCTGTTTTTATCTCAGATTTCCAGCAACTACAACATTTTGTTTTTATTAGTAAGTTAACTTTGCTTAATGACATTGTTATGTGGTTATTATAAATTATTTTTTCTGTGATTCTTTTGTCAATGTCTCAATGTTTATTTACACGTGATTAAAATGTGTGAGAAGTGGTGAGAGATTCTGTTATTCACAATTTAAAAGTCTGTTTGATTGTCATTTTAGAGGGTTGTCACAAAACCTTGCTTTTAACACATTAGTGAACGGGTGTTTCATTTCGAAGTAATTTTATAGATGGCACAGTTACCACAAGGTCGCTGGTTCTTTACATAGTGTATACTGGATGAATGGGCATGGAAGAGCCATGAATAGCGGTACAAGACCATGTTCCTTATTCAAAATGACTTTATTCATCGAGTGGGCTGAAGCCATTGGATAAGTTTGAAAAGACTGAGCAACAGCATTTTAAAGACTTAACCAGTAGCTCTTAAGATGGTTGAACATTTACATAGCTACACTATGGAGTCTACGGTCAGTCAGAGGCTACTATCACAGTCAAGGGCATGATCTCAGTCCAGGGACCGATCGTAGCCAATTTAATCTAAATATTGAACTTAATAGTCTAGCAGTTAATTTAATTAATTTAGCGATTCACTTTAAATATTGACATTTGGTGTAATCAGGATTTGGTGGTCTATGCCCATGAAGTTGGGGGATGGGTCGAGGTCAGTCCTGCAGGGTCAGTCTAACTGGTCCGGGATTATGGCTGGAAAGTTGAGGACACATCAGTCAGTGGGCTATGGTATGTTCCCTCGGATGCACATCAACCGTGCCTGGAAACCATCAATTTGGTGGAAGATGCTCTTTGGTCTGCCTGAAACTTGTTAGTCTACCGGAAAAAGGAGTTGACCCTGACCGTGAGTTACAGACTAGGGCGTTCCAAGATCCAGGATTGCATGCTGAGGGACGCACTAAAGCTTGGGTCAGCTGCCGCCAAAGCGCAGTGGGGAAAGACCACTGTCTGAGGTCTTCCTGCTGAAGGTAAATGGGGGTCCGTTCAGTTATTGGACCCTCCCAGTGTCTCAAATATATGTAAATATTAGTATTGTATGTATAAGAGAAATCTTTCATTTTCTTAGATAGAGTCAAGGTCCAATGTTTTGTTTGTTTCCTTGATATACAACTGTACAAAGCTGAACTGATTGAAACTATTCTGTTCAGATATGCAGGGGATGACAACTGTGAAGAGAGTATATGGTTGGGATTTAGTATAGCATGGGAGGATGCTGTACTGTGGTTTCTCTGCAAGTCACCATCATGCTGTCTTCAATGGAGGGGACACTGGATAGTAATAGTGGGTAGGAAGTACTGAAGGTAGGAAGACTTAGTGGTTTCGGAGCATGAGGTGGATATAGACATTGAATAAAGATGCTGCATGCAGTAGCGAGAGTGATAGATCATTAGCATTGGTGGGAGGTGTGTGCAATGGCAGAGTTAGAGTGAGAGTAAGTTGGAAGAGAGGGATGATAATGGCAGAGGCCCTGGCATGTGCAGAAGGTCAGTCACCTTCTTTCTACATATCCGGGCTACAATTCTTCATTCAGGGACACTGCACTGAGCCAGGTGGCTGTCTCTGGTGGTGCCTGGTGCTGCAGCCTCCTTTGATGGTATGGAAGAAAGACAATTGCATTCCTCGCCATCACCCCATCCACCAAGACAACGAGCTCAGTGAACTAGGTTATCAACTTCTTAGGCATCTCCTCCATAGTAACAGTTGAGTGACAGGATTTGAAGGACAGTTTGTGGCTTGGCAGGATTTCAGCTGGTACTGGTTAGAACTATGGTGCCCACAGTGTGAACACTAGGGGGTCTTGGCAGCAGTGAGCACTTCAGTCTGTGTGACTGCACAATTGGATGAGAAAGGCATTGTGGATGCCAAGTACATAACCAATGAGGCGAGCTGTAGAGGATTGAATGAGAAAATTTGGCATGTGCCATGGTGAGAAACTCTTCTGTAAGCTCCCTGAAAATAACACTTAGCCAAAAAATGGGGAGAATTCATTCCAGTGAGGCTGAGTAACCAAAGAGACCAAACCAGGAGCTGCAGTGAACTAAGGCAGAGTGTCTGGAAGGTATAATAATGTGATCCAACTGTTGTATTTACAGGCATTTCTGGATTTCACAATTTATTTAGCTATTCATATAGTTTGCTGAAGAATTGATTATTAGTATTGTTTCAAACCTTGATCAACAGGAACATCTTTTCTTGTGTCCAGATTTTAAAATAAGCATCTCTGGAGAGGCTATTGTTTTTGTGTTGTGTGAGTGTATTTCTGTTTTGGATTAAGGGAATATAGTTTTTATTCCATATTATATCTTTAATGTTTGCCACTGTATTATAACAAGTAGCATTTTTTCTTCATTTATTAAAGTAGTAAACAAAGAAAAGGAGCAAATGTCCATTTTGATCATTGAATCAACTCATCTATACTAATGTGTAACCACTGGAGTAGTGGAGTTTGATTAGTAATGCATTTCTTTCCTCAGTCTTGACAGCATTTACGATCAAAGCTTTCCCTTCATTGCTCAAAACAGTTTTTAATATTAGCCACACCTATCTTAACAAAGCAGGGAATTAATTACTGAACCCTTAAATAGCTCTGGTTAAGGTACAACAATAGTTTTGCATTTAGTTCAGGTCCCCATGCTTTAGGAAGGAAATGAAGTTGTAGGTGTAGAGATTTACCCGAATGTTTCCAGGAATGAAGGAATTGAGTTAGAACATCAGAAGGGAGAAATTGGGGTCATTCTTCTTGGAGGGGAGTGGTGAGAGTTTGTCTCCAAAGCAATGTTTTACCTGATGGGGTAATGTTTCTACCATCTCTTGTAACATTAGAAACGGGGCGTGGATACTGTGGTATTGCAGAATCCAACAACATTTATTACGGCTATTTGGTACAAACATTACATTGTTTAGATACACAAGTGTCTGGGCTATCATTAAGCTAGTAGATTACAACATAGAAGTATGCTTCTAGCAGTGTGTAATATTTCAAGTGATCTGAGGCCTGTTTGAGATCTTTAGTTTTTGAGATCTATTGAGACCTCTAGACCCTCAGGTTACATGCAACGATACAGTGACGATATCATGAGCATGTGTCATAAAGGTACACTGACCAGCAGGCACACTCAACAGGGAAATCAGAAAGAGGGGTACAAGATTATGACAGGTTTTGATGATATGGCCAAAGAAGGCTTGTTCCTGTTAGGTGATGGTACAAGAACTAGGGAATACTGATCAAAAGATAACAGGGAAAATCTGAAGAAGTTTTATTTTATGCAGCAAGTGATAATGATCCGGAATTTGCTGCTAATTAAGCGAACGGGAAAGGAAATAGCCAAGGATTTCAAAGAGAATTGGATGGGCACTTGAGAGAAATAAATTTACAGAGGACAGTGGGAGACATGCAACTGGAGATTGCTCCAGAGAGCTATTACAAGCCTAATGGGCTGAAAAGCCTCCTGCTGTGTTGTAATGGCTCTCTGAGTCTACTTTTTAGCCAAGCAAAGTTGTCCTATACAAGATCCACTGCAAAATTAGGAGAAAGAATAAAGCTCACCCTTCATCAGATTGGTTGGTGAGATCCCGGATTATACAGTAAAGCACATCAATGGAAGACTGAAAAGAAAAGTGGGAAAAGTGGTTATCAGAACAATTGTAATATTGTACTTGGATTAATACAAATTTAGTCAAAGTGTCAACATAGACATTGCACTTGGTGCTTTATTTAGCGACTATTCTTATATACACTCCTAACTGGGGGTCACAGAACTGCAGTGGTCTGTGTGGAGCTGTACTCAACAAGTTTTACTGTGGTCTTAGCCTCTAACCTTAACTTGCCCACATACACTACACTTCAAGTGCAAGTCAATGAACTGTGTTGCCACCCTGAATTGTACAACTGTGTTGCTGTAGATCCTGTCTATTGTGTTGAACTGGTTTGGGTGCATCCTTTGAAGGACCTTGACTGACTTCATGAAGGAACGTGTACCTGAAATTTTACAATTCTTCACATGACTCAACTCATGGATCATTATTATGTTGAGCTTGTCATGTGCTGATGACCTTACCTCTGCAGGCTTTGAAGCATTCCTAGATAAAATGGTTGTATTGTTCAAGGAGAACGTTTCTCCCCATGTTTCAGGGTCTAGGTACCTAGGCAGTGTCTTGGCAAGTCAATGAGGGAATGAACTGGTTTGTTAACTCCCTTCATATGTCCTTGCGAGTCTGCAATGCAAAGGTGATGACACCTACTCTTCTGTCAGGTCACATGCTCAGACGACGTTTCTCAGGATTGCTTGAACATATGGATTTCACTATTGTGAGAGCTTCTGTTTTTGCCACTGAGTAAATCTGTTCTGCCAGGCTGCTTGTATGTAATAGTTGTTCACAATCTGTTGTATATTCACCTTTGTCTGTCTCTTCTTCTCTGGTCAAGTTGTCTCTTGTTACACAACAGGGCAGATATTTCTGGCAAAGGGTCTCCCGTCTGCCTTTGGGTGTAGTTAGCTTGAGTCTATGGCTGAAGTGCCATTTCCTGTGGTTTCTCCCTCTTTCTTCGCTACCAGACTTCCTACCTAACATTGCCTCACAACCTTTTAACCTGAGGACTTCCAGTTGGACATGTATGTACCTCAAAGTGAAGTAGGAAGCTAGATATCAATCTTTTACATGTCACCATGTAAAAACAAAGAACAGGAGTAGACCATTCGGCCCATTCTAGATCATGTCTTGTCAACTCTTCAATGCTGTTTTCCATCACCATCTCCATGTTCCTTAATGTCATTAAACTATCACTTACTGTCTTGAACCTGTGTGATGGTCAACTTTCCACAGCACTCTGGGGTGGAAACTTTCACGATTCACCACTTTCTGAATGAACTGATTCCTTCTCATCTCAGTTTGACATAGCTTGTCCCTTGTCCTGAGATTTTGCCCCCTAGTCTTAGACCCAGCAGCCTGGTTAATATGCCATCTACAGCCACTCCATCAATCCCAGTCAGAATTTTGTAAATTTCAATGAGGTCCACCTATCGTTCTTTGAAACTCTTGAGGATACGAACCCGGTGTCCTCAATGCTTTCCCTCAAGAAAATCCCACCATCATAGAGATTAATCTGAAGAACCTGCACTGTAATCTCTCTATGACAAGTATGTCCTTGCTTTGATAAAGAAACCAAAACACAATACTCCAGTGCACAATACTCTAGGTGATGTCTTGCCAAGATTCTCTACAACTGCAGCAAGGCATCTTTGCTTATATACTCAGATCCCCTTGAAATGAATGCCAACATTCCATGTGACTCCAGGCCCACAACAATGTGGTTGACTCTCAACTACCTTCTGGGCAATAAATGCTGGCCTAGCCAGTGATGCCCCCACATCCTTTGAAGGTATAAAAAATGAAATCTCCTGTACTGCCTGTTAGGCTCTCCTAGACTGCCTAGTTGAGACAAAGAGTCAAAGCATGATACTTCCTTTCCACTTCTTTTAAAGCTGCTAATCCACCACTGCTGCCACCATGTTGTAATATCTGGGCTTGGATCCATACACACTTAGTAAAAGACAGTGTAGAAATTGCACTTGGCACTTTGTTGTGAGACAGTTCTTTGTGCTCCAACCATGGTGACACGACTGGGTGATTTTATCACTTCCAGCCACACCACATACACGTGCACAAACGTATTCAAATAGCATGGCCCACTTCTAATTAACACAACAAAAAAGATGTCCAATTCTCACTGAAAACAAAACTGCAATTCCAATAGTAAATGACCATGCCTCCAACACTCCATAACCACCTTGGGAACATTGGCACCTTCTGTGTGCGTGAAGTCATTTGGAGATTACTTCTCAACAGCTCCAAAGAATGTGATTGTGATGATTTAATTAAGAACTGAATAGAAAGGCTGAGATAACAAGGTGTAGAGCTGGATGAACACAGCAGGCCAAGCAG